ACCAAATAAGAGAACAATAGACCACAAACCAACAATGTGAAAGGGATCACAAGAAAATAGAACATCAAAACACGAGCTATTGTTTAGAGCACAAGAACTAAACCTATAGAGATCCAAATGAAATACTGACCATTCAAAATGTAGATCAATATATTGTTAACTCTCAGACAAAATTTCAGCTCAATCCAACTATGAAAGTTTGCGGATCGGACAAAGTTGCAAACTGTGCACTGTACCAAAATCTGCAGAATTACTTCCCTGCTTTCTTTCCCCTTTTGCCGGCTGGTCCACAACGTGCTCTCCACTTTCTGCTGTCCAAATCAGATCTCTTTCTTTATCTTAAAGGACCGCAAAATGTGATTTCAAGTGGGCTTAACAAGTGTGGGCTTACCTCACAAATATTTACCATTTCTCCACATAATAGGGATAGGCTTAACCCAACAAGTTGAAAGCATACATGGTTACGCGCACACTTTAGCCGAAAATGGCATTCTGGATGGTGAGGTCTTGATTCCTTAGGTATCATTCACTAATAGCCGAAGCAGGAAAGGGACAAAGTGGGAAGGCAATCTATTTTGTCATTTTCTTTTAATTGAGTCCTCCACTGGAGGAAGCCAATTACTTTAATACCCATAGAGTTGATATTTATTGGCAAAGATTTGATTTTTTATATAGTTAATAAAAAGATAATTTTCTATAAAACTTTCAGTTTTGATGTAAATGGTTGATCTTTGATCAAACTAAAAAATAATTAATCTCAAAATATATACAAAAAAAATTTAAAAGTATCTTCATTTGCTAAAATTGTTTTTTTCTTTTTTTTTTTTAAATTAGTTAATTCTCAAGGTTATTAAAATTTAAAAATGGTGTTTGGTCTACTGATTTCCCCAAAGGATAAGATCGCACCCAAATGGCCAATTGTCCCTTTATACTGGCTTTCTTTTTCTTTTTTTTTTTTTCAAAAAACCCTTCTTAAGCTTTTATATTTATCCCAAATTAGCATTCAATCCCTAAATTAAAAATAATGCAAATAAGCTCTCCAACTCCTTTGATCGGAGCAAATAAGCCCTCCAATTATGTGATTGTGAAACTTGAAGCAAAAGTGCCGACACTTATATTATTGTCGATACTCTAAATAGTTTTCAATTTTAGAAACTTTTATTTTTAACTTAGTCTTACTCCTTTTCTAAAAAAATTTCCTTCAAATAGACTAAAACTTCGAGTTCAATTATAAAATAATGACATCTCTTTGTCATTGACAAAAATTGAAGATATTACATATATTATTCATGATTCATACATTACAAAAGAAAACAAGAAACCTAAAGTTCATAATTCATGGTATTTTTTAACAAATATAATAAAACTCTACTAAATATCATAGATTAAACTCTAAATTTTGTTAAAAAAAAATAAAAAAATTACCAAAATAAGCATAATAAAAAAATTCATCTACATTTACGTGGAATAGTACCACATTAGCATCTACATCTACATGGAATAAAGGAAGGAAAAGAACAAACAGAGTTAGTGCACATTAGATCATAGTCGTTTAGGCCGTTAGTAATAAAGGCTTATTTGCATTAATCAAGGAGTTGGAGGGCTTACTTGAACCATTTTTAGTTTAAAGGCATAAATACTAATTTGGGGTAAGTCTAAGGGTTTAAGAAGGGTTTTTGCCTTGTTTTGTCGGCAGATTTGTCCGTCTATATTCTTTGTTTATTGTGGGATGTGAACGCATCAAAAACCCATATAACTCAGGTAATGGCTAATTGTTATGCGTGTAACGTGACTGACATGTCTCTATGTTTAACCAAATCCAAAATCCTAGACTCTACTAAGTAACAAACAGTATATTGATACTTAACCAAGGGGGTAATTGAATTAGGCACGCAAGAAGCACCTGGGTGTCCTAGTTTGATGAATATTTGCCCAGTCTTAGGGTTGGAGTTCCAACTCTCTCCCTTAAAATTGTAATTTGTTCAAAAAATAAAAATAAGCATGTAATAAATATATTTTTTTATTAATTATTTAAAAAATAAAGTTTAATTTTATTAACAATCTAATTAAAGGCCAATCTTTTAAATTTACCTTTTAAATAAAAGGATAAGAATAGATTCAGCTCTTAAAAAAATAATGATAAATTACTCATTCAAATTATCAATCAAAACAAATGATTCATTATTTTATGTGTGATGTCATCATGTGTTATCTTTCCATGGAAAACATGCTTAGGTGACAAATAGATTTTTGACATATGATAACATTACATATCAAATAATAGATGTGATATCCTTGTCCTTATTTGCAATTAGTTAAAGAAAATAGGTCCCAATTTACAATAAGTCTAAAGTTGAAGTCTTCCACTTCATTTAGAATTAGGAACAAATATATAATATTTGTTAATTAAGGGATTGCATGTTAATTTAATGAATTGCAGCCCTAGTGTCTATCTTAAGGAGAATTTAATCCATTCCAACTCTCAACAACTTGTTAAAATTAATAACAGGTGGTTGGATGAGAAGTGGGCCAAGTGGGGAGCATTTACGACTCACTTCCCCACTTGACCGGAACTCTTGAGCCATATCACTAAATTGGCTATTTCCTATATTTTGCCTATAGCTGGACCAAAGGAGAAAGAGAAGGACGGTGCAGATAGGTTAAGCAGACTGAGGGAATATTGATGAATTCTACCAAGTTCAAGATTTTGAAAAAAGTGTGTAGGTAAGTGTGGTTCTTAATTTTAAGTTAAAGTTGTTAAATAAAAATAAGAAAGTAAATAAATTAGACAGAATATATATATATATATATATACACACAAAAGAAATTAAGGTGTTGCAGAATAATTTATATAACATAGAGAGAAATAAATACATAGGCACAAAGAAGCAGAATTTCATGTGCTGAAGCTGTGAAATTTCTGTAGTTAGATGAGTTTCAGTTTTGGGACTAATATATTATGTGTATCACATTCTCTAGATTATGTCTTATATATTTGACTTGAGCCCTTCATTATAACCTATTTCTCTAAGTTTTACAGACCAAATTAAGCAAACATTGAATCTATTATGCATGTTTATGTGCAATAAATGGTTTTTGATGTAATTTCCTTAGAACTATGGAGAGTTTGGATACCAGCTTAGGCTTGGGGGTTAGAACAGTGAACTAGTGGACCTCTGCGCAGTAGGCAAGTGCTATGACTAGCTCTAGCACCTAATGTGAGTGCATGCACATTTAGTGGACTCCACAGTTTGTGTTATCACTATTATGATGTGTTGTGTGTGTGTTATCACTATTATGATGTGTTGTGTGTGTGTGATCATTTATGATTGCAATGCCTCAATTTTTTACAATGTTCATACAGCTAAGAATTAAAGGAATTTTTCTGCACAAGATATTAAAGATTTAATTAGTAGCTTAACTTGAGATTGAGAATTATACTTACTAGGCTGTGAGCTCATGGTGTTATTCCCACCATTTCAGATAGCAGCAGTGAAGGATAGCTATTATTCCTAAGAATTTTGTGGGTGTAGGCCCTATGCTAACTGTAAGCTATGCTGCAAATTTTAGTAAGGCAAATCTGTATCTGTCCAAAATTTTCATTTGACTCTATAACTTTAAATTTATCTGTACTGTATTGAGTTTGGGAATAATATATACACTGAATATTTTGATATTATAGATTTCTTTTGTATTTTTCTTTACTTAGCTATGCAATACATTTCCCTACTTTATGGACCTATGGTTACTCTAGAGGGGATGTTACAATAGATCTTTGGTCTTAATTAATAATTTGAAGTGATAATTTATTCTTATTTTTTTAAGAGAAGCAGATTTGTTTCTATCCTCTTATTTAATGTTCGAATTTAGAGGTTCTATCTTAATTTAAAACATTTATGTGGTATTGGTATTCAAAATAATTTTTTTTATTTTTCTTTATATAAATTAATTTAAAAAATATAATTAATATATCCTTAAAATGCAAATTAAAAAATTCTTTAACTAATTAATTAAGTTAATTGAAAAGATCACTTGGCCATCTAGATGGGTATGGCTTTGGTATGGTTAGTCTTTGGACTAATTAGGTATCGCAGTTAAAACCTAGTAAATAGTAGTTAGTAAGTAATGAATGGTTATTAACGGATAGTAGATGTTGAATAGTGGAAAACAAATAGTGGTTTGTACGTAACAAATTTTAATTGATATAGCTATTTAGTTATATAATAATTAATAATTATTGTTTAACATTAACAATAACATATTTAAAAGTAATTAAATATATTTTTTATTTTTATATTTTCATTATTAAAATCATTAATTCTATAAAATAATAAATAAATAAGTAAAATGTGAACCATACACTAATTTCTATTATTTTTAAATAAAGAAAAAATAAACTTTTAATTATTTCATCTAATTAACAAATTTTTTATTAAGTTAATATAAAACTTACTAAACACATAGTTTATAGTGATTTTAAAATAAATAAATTTATCAGACACCTATTATATGGTGGTTTGAGTAAAATCATTAGTTGTTACCTTCAAAGTTCAAACCACTATATCAAACAAGTTATTGGAAAGAAATTCCAATTCTTTTTTTAGCAAAGCACATTTAAGATTATAAATGAGTTAAGTATTTTCAAAATTAAATTTAAGTTGAATACTATGGTAACAAGTTGAGTTGAATTTAATTTTTTATCAAATTCAAATATCAAGTTTAAAGTCACCTATGGTTTGTTTGGTAACATGAATTTGAAACAATGTATTTGAAACAATGTATTTGAATTTGAGGGGTTAAAATTGAATATCACTGTTTGTTTTTACGTAAATAAAAAGTTATTGAATTTGAGTGAAATACATGTATTTTAACAATGTAATTCCCAATAATAAAATATGTGTATTTCAATTTGACCCTAAAACCCTTGAATTTCAATTTTGAATTGAATTTGGTCTGCACTCTCTCTTCTCGTCGACGGTAATGAGAAGCGCCGAAAATTTCGAAAGTTCTCGCTTCCCCCCTCTCCCAAAATTCCTTAGAATCTCACTGTTGTTCCCTGAGATGGCTCGTACTAAAATCCGAGGCTGAGGCCCGACTGTTTCGCCCAACTATTTTGTGTCCCTCTTCAACCCTTCAGTGTACACCAACCATGGTCATTGTCGGCATCCTCGCTTTACAGGGATCTTTCAACGAACACATCGCAGGCAGTACTCTGTCTTCATCGTGGTCATCATTTATATAAACATCACATGAACATGTTAATGGGTTTTGATTGCTGTTTTTGTTTCTCTCCGCAGCACTTAAGCGGCTTGGAGTGAAGGGAGTGGAGATAAGGAAGCCGGAGCAGCTTCAGAGTGTTAGCTCTCTTATCATCCCTGGAGGAGAGAGCACCACCATGGCTAAACTCGCCGAGCTTCACAATCTTGTAATGTCTATTTCTCTGTTGATTTTGGCTTTGGCGAATTTATGTTTCATGGATAGTTAATATTATTAACTATGATGTAGATTGATGAAATGGGTTGTGTTTAGTTTACAAGATTTATGCTTTAATTAAAGACATTAGTAGATTGCTAAACCACTGTCTTTTTCTTTGCTTTCATTTCGATTATTTTCAGGACTTT